TATGTACGCTCAGGCGTGGAATTCCTGAGCCATACGACAACTCTCTTTGCTTAACTCTTTGAGGACGCATCAAACTGCTTTCCACAGTGGCTAAGCCATTTGACATTCCTATCCACAAATGGTGGGGGTCCCAATTTCAGCACATCCTCACCAATACTTGTTATGTTTTCGTTTTTTGTTTTTATAATAGCCATCCTTGTGGATGTGAAGTGGTGTCTTCTTACTATGCTTATGGACATGCTATCTGACATCTCAAAATTAACAATTATTTTCTATTTCATAATTACTACACGTTGTTAAGCTGTGTTAACAGCAAGTGTCATTAGTTTTCCAACAAATAATCGTTCAAACTAAGTGAGAGAAGTTGTTGTTGTTGCTATTAAGTGCCATTGAGTGGGCTGTAACTCAGAGTGACCCTATGTGGAGCTTCTGAGGAGCGGCTGATGAGTTTGAACCACTGACCACTGACCTTGTGGTTCAAACTGACCTTGCAACTCAGGGCTTATCCTACAGCACCACACCAAGATAAGTAGAGAAGATCAAGCTTCAGGAAGACTCAGCACTCAGTCAAGCAGGTTACCAGCAAAAAGTGCAGAAAGCTAATTCTCCAACTCGGAGCCCTGGTGGTGTAGTAGAGGAAGCACTTAGCTGCTAACCAAAAGTTTGTTACTTTGAACCCATTTACCATGTGAGAAAGCTATGTCAGTAGTTTTCAAAGGAGCTCTGGTAGCGTAGTGGTTACGAATCGGGCTGCGAACCGGAAGGTCAGCAGTTCGAAACTACCAGCTGCTCAGTGGGAGAAAGATGAGGCAATCTGTTCCCATAAAGATGTACAGCCTCGGAAACCCTGTACAGGGTCGCTATGGGTTGAAACCAACTCGATGGCACTTAACAATAACAACAACAACAATTACAACCTTGGTAACACCCTAGGGCAGTTCTACTCTATCCTATAGGGTCATTGTGAGTTGGAATAGGCTCTGTGGCAAAGGGTAGTTGTTGGCGCAAGGTAGCATGAAGTCAGTTCCAACTCATAGCGATCCTATATACGACAAAGCTAAACACTGTCCTGTGCCATCCTTACAAGTATTATGTTTGAGCCTGTTGCTGCAACCACTGTGTCAATCCATCTTGTTGAAGTGCTTTCTCTTTTTCACTGACCCTCTACTTAAGTTAGCATGATGTCATTTTGCAGGGACTGGTCCCTCCTGATAACATGTCTGAAGTACCTGAGACAAAGTCTCACAATCTTCTCTTCTAAAGAACATTCTGACTGTACTTCCTCCAAGAGAGATTTGCTCTTTCTTCTGGCAACCCATGGTACTTTTAGTATTCCTCGTCGATTGTTGTTGTTGTTAGGTGCCATCGAATTGGTACTGACTCATAGTGACCCTATGTACAATAGAACGAAATGCTGACCAGTCCTGGGCCAACCTCACAATTGTTGCCACACTTGAGCCCATTGATGCTGCCACTTGGCCAATCCATCTCGTTGGGGGTCTTCCTCTCTTTCTCTGACCCTCTACCTTATCAAACATGATATCTTTCTCCAGTGACTGGTCCTTCCTGACAATATGTCCAAAATATGAGAGAAGTTTGGTCATCCTGGCCTCCAAAGAGCTCTCCGGCTGCACTTCTTCCAAAAAGGATCCATTGGTTCTTTGGGCAGTCCATGGCACTTTCAATATTCTCCTCCAACACCATACCTCAAAAGCATCAATTATTCTATGGTCTTACTTATTCACTGTCCAGCTCTCTCATGGAAATGAGGTTATTGTATTGACAGCACCATGGCTTGGGTCAGTCGTGCCTTAGTCCTCAAGCTGACATCTTTGCCCTTCAACACTTTAAAAAGGTCTTGTGCAACATATTTGCCTAATACAATACGTCATTTGATTTCTTGACTTCTGCTTCCATGAGTGTTGATAGTTGATCCAAGAAGAATGAATTCCTTGACAACTTCAATCTTTTCTCCATTGATAAGAATGTTTATTGGTCCAGTGGTAAGGATTTTTGTTTTCTTGACATTGAGATGTAATCCATACCGAAGGCTGTGTTCTTTGATCTTCATCAGTAAATATTTTAAGTCCTCTTCACTTTCAGCAAGCAAGGTTGTATCATCTGCATATTGCAGGTTGTTAATGAGTCTTCCTCCAATCCTGATGCCATGTTTTTCTTCATAGAACCCAGCTTCTCAGATTATTTGCTCAGTATACAGGTTGAATAAGTATGGTGAAAGAATACAACCCTGCCACACACCGTTCTTAATTTTAAACCCTTCAGTGCGCTCATGTTCTGTTCAAACAACTGCCTTTTGGTCCATGTTCAGATTCCTCATGAGTACAATTAAGTCTTCAGAAATACTCATACTTTGCAATGTTGTCCATAGCTTGTCATGATCAGCACAGTTGAAAGCCTTTGTTTACAATAAAGCACAGGTAAGCATCTTTCCGGTGTTTTCTGCTGTCAGCCAGGATCCATTGAGCATCAGCAATGATATCCCTTGTTCCAAGTCCTCTTCTGAAGCTGGCTTGAACCTCTGGAAGTTCTCTATCAATGTATGATTGTAGCCGTTTCTGTATTACCTTTAGTAAGACATTACTCGCATAGGATATCAAAGAGATTGGCCAATGATTTCTGCATTCCTTTGGGTCACCTCTCTTTGGAATGGGCACAAATATGGATCTCTTCTAATCAGTTGGCCAGAGAGTTTTCTTCCAAATTTCTTGGCATAGATGAGTGAGTGTCTCCAGTGCTAATACCATAGTTCAAATGCATCGATTCTTCTCTTATCTTTCTTATTCATTGTCTAGCTTTCACATGCATCTGAGGCCATTTAAAATATGGGGTCCTCAATGTGAATCTTTGCTCTTTAATATTTTAAAGAGATCTTTTGGAGAAGATTTGCTGAATTATTTGATTTCTTGATTGATACCTCTATTGGCATTGTCTGTGGATGCAAGTAAAATGAAATTCTTGACTACTTGAATATTTTCTCCTCTGATCATGATGGTGTTTATTGGACCAGTTATAAAGCTTTTTTTTTTCCCTCCTTAGTATTGAGCTGTAGTGATACTGAAGGCTCTAGTCTTCAATCTTCACCAGTAAGTGCTTTAAGTTCTCTTTGTTTTCAACAAACAAGATTATGTCAGCTGCATATAGCAAGTTAGTTATTCATTGGTCTTCCTCCAATAATTATGGCCTGGTGACCATTCAGCATTGTGACACAATGGTTAAGCACTCACCTGCTAAACCAAAGGTCTGTGGTTTAAATCCATATGAAGCTCCACAGGAACAAAGAGCTGGTGATCTACTCCTACAAACATTTCAGCCTAGGAAATCCTATGGAGTAGTTCTACTTTGTCCTATAAGGCTGCTGAGTCAGAACCAACTTGATGGCACACAACAACAACAATACTTATACAACAAGGGTATAAATCAGATAAGAGCCTTAGACTCAGAGTTGGGCAGGCCTAAATGACTAGCTCCCCACCAATAAAGGCTTTGCTCTTTGTTTCTATATTGCTGGCAATATGAATAGCAATGCCGCTCAACTTGTCCTTTCAGATTGTGATTGCATGTATCTCTCCCCCTTAGCTTATGACCCCAACCACCATACATGATTCATACTCAAATCCTCCATCTCTGGGCATCATGTGGAGCACACATCAGACCTTCAGGTAGAATGTTTGAATGGATACAGACTAAAAGCTTTGTTTCCTTGTCCCTGTGTGGCACTGCAGGATAATGCAGTGGACCACAAAGTCAGTTTGAACCTCAAGGTTGCTAGCTTAAACCCACCAGCCACTCCTCTGAAACCCTATTCAGGGTGGCTATGAATCAGAATCTACTCGACAACATTTTATAACAACAACAATATTTATCTACGGGTCCTGAATTTATCTTCACTAGACCCCCAAAGAGATGGATTAGCCAAGTGGCAGCATCGATGGAGTCAAGCGTGGCAACAGTAGTGAGGTTGGCCTAGGATCGGGCAGTGTTTCATTCTGCTGTGCATAGGGTTGCTGTGAGTCGGTACTAACTTGATGGCACCTAACAACAACAGAGTTTTCCCAGAGCCCCTGGGTGTTGTGAATGGTTACCATGCTCATCTGCTAAAAGAAAGGTTGGAAGCTTGAGCCTCAGAAGAAAAGCTTGGTAATCTCCTCCTGAAAATCATACATAAAAATCATCTATTAATGGCCAAGCTTCCAGAATGTGCCCCCCTTGTTATTTAAATGATTATATATCCCTGTGTGGCTTTTTTTTTTTTTTTTTTTTGGCGGGGGGGACCTTTGTACATCAAGGGAAAAATAAAGAGAGAGAAAGAGGTTTTCTTGGTAAAAGAAATAGTCTATGAGGGTTTGGGGGAGGGGGGGGAGGAAATGATACATGCGCTAGAAGGTAGGCATGCATTGACATGGGTGACAGGCAGGCAATATACAACCAGAAGGAGGTTGGCAGAGGAAAGATGGGAGTGGCAGGAGACACAGGGAGGAATGCAATGGTTAAAGTGAATAGAGGTAAATGCTGTTAATTGTTGGTGCATGGAGGGGATTGCAACCATATAATGAAGCCAAGTGAATGTAAAACTGATGATCTGCTCTATAAGCCTTCACTCAATTCCAATAAGAAGTTTAAAAAAAAAATCAGCCATTAAAAATCCTACTTACAGCTCTCCAAATTGACTGGATGGGAATTGTTTTATTAAGGTTTTCCTCCTCTCGGATCATCGTACACCATGTCTAAGAAGAAGATTCCAGTCTGGTATATGAGGATGGGATAGTTGGTGGGTTAGTACATGCCAAGCACATAGGCATTGCTTATGGTCAAGAAGAAGGAGAAATAGATGCTTCCCTGGCACCATCAACTGGCAAATTCCTTACATGGCTTAAGATGAACACTGTAAAGAAACTCATCCAATATGAATAGAAATGGAAATATTTAACTGTGTACGTCCCCACCTGCTCTGAAATTTCCCTGCCTTGTCTGTGTTCCAGGTTCAGGTTTAGTGGCCGCATTCTTGGCCTGGCTCTGATCCATCAATACCTTCTTGATGCTTTCTTCACGAGGCCCTTCTACAAGGCACTCCTGAGACTGTAAGTGTGTTGCAGATCACCATTCCACCCCTGCAGGACAGCCAGCACGGCCCCTTATGGCATCGCTGACCCTTTGTTTCCTTTTTGCCCTTACCATTCCTGTGAGGTTTATAACAGTTGATTGTTCTAAATGCTTAGATACAACATCAATGTTTTAGTACAATAAAAGGACATTGGGAGAGTTTATGTAAGCACATGGAAAACTATCAATCATAATATGTCATGAATATAAATTCTTTCTATTGTAATCATAATAGTATTACAAAGATTACTTTAAACTGCTTATTAGAATTGATCTGTTTGTAACTTAGTGATTTTCAAATGCTGCCTTTCCCTGGTTGCCATGGAAAGAGCCCACAAGGCAAAATTTGTTTCATGTTTATTATTATGGATCCTTGGTGTGGTTCTGTAGATTAAGCACAAGGTCAGTGGTTCAAACACACCAATTGCTCCTTCAAAACCTAATACAAGGTCGCTATAAGTTGGAACCAACTAGATGACACCTGACAACAAACATTATAAATATTTTGAGATTTCTTTTTTTTTATTGAGTCAACCAAAAGTGCCATCAGAGTTATTGAAAAGTATGAAATTATTAGAGCTTACATTGTTTTAGCCGGCAGTGAAATAAGCACATTTTTTGAAAGATCTCTGAGCAGTCATTTGTTGAGTAATTCTGTCTGCTTTTCTCCCTTTGGGCTCCCCCCAGGCCTTGTGATTTGAGTGACCTGGAATATTTGGATGAGGAATTCCACCAGAGCTTGCAGTGGATGAAGGACAACAACATTACAGATATCCTAGATCTCACGTTCACCGTTAATGAAGAGGTTTTTGGGCAGGTTTGTTCAACATGGGGAATGGAAAGGGGATTTTATTTTTCAAATCAAAAAGGAGGAGTCTCATTCGTTCAAAATACATGTCTTTGGAGAGTGTTCACTTTAAGAAGGAGTCCTGGTGTGGTTCTGTAGGATAAACACTTGACTGTTAAGCATAAAGTCAGCAGTTCAAACCCACCTGCCACTCCTTAGAAACCCTGTACAGGGTCACTATGAGTTGGAACTGACTCAACAGTACTTAGCAACAAATGACAAGCTTTAAGAAGGAGTCCTGGGATGCCACTAATAAGGTCAGGATTGTTAACCATTAGGTTGGCAGTTCAAACCCACCAGCTGCTCCTTGGAATCCCTACACAGGGTCATTATGAGTCAGAACCAACTTGACAGCACTTAACAACAACAACACAGAAATCATTATTTTCATCACTAGCATCCAAATCTCTCCTTTTGGTTTTTGGTTTGGGATTTGGTTTTGCGTGATTGTGGCCAGTGTGTTGAGTCTTTGGGTAAGAGTTATCCACTGAACCCTGCAAAGAATCCTGCCCCTTGTAGTGTTGCTGTTGTGTATCACTGAGTCACTCTCAACCCTAGTGACCCTGTAGGACAGCATAGAGTTGCCCCATGGGGTTTCCAGAGCTGTAGTCTTTACAGTCCATGGCACTTTCAGTATTCTCCTCCAACACCACAACTCAAAGGCATCAATTCTTCTACAATCTTCCTTACTCACTGTCCAGCTTTCGCATCCATATGAGGTTAGTGAAAATACCATGGCTTGGGTCAGGCACAACTTAGTCCTCAAGCTGACATCTCTACTCTTCAATACTATAAAAAGTTCTTGTGCAGCAGATTTGCCCAATGCAATACGTCGTCTGATCTCTTGACTGCTGCTTCCACGAGTATTGATAGTTGATCCAAGAAGAATGAAGTCCTTGACAACTTCACTCTTTTCTCCATTGATAAGAATGTTGTTTATTGGTCCAGTGCAGTGCTCCTTGGAGGTCAAGATGGCTAAGCTTTGTCTCTCATACTTTGGACATATTGTCCAGAGGGAATAGTCGCTGGAGAAGGATGTCATGCTGGGTAAGGTGGAGGGTCAGAGAAAAAGAGGAAGACCCCCAAAGAGATGGATTGGCCAGGTGGCATCATTGATAGAGTCAATTGTGGCAGCGGTAGTGAGGTTGGTCCAGGATCAGACATTGTTTCGTTCTGCTGTGCATGGGGACGCTATGAGTCAGTTCTGACTCAACGGCACCTGACAACAACAACAACAACAACAGTCTTTACAGAAATAAACTGTCACACCTTTCTCATGCAAAGCAACTACTAGGTTCAAAGCCCCAACCTTTCAGTTAGCAGTTAAGAGTCTCAATTAATAATTTGGAACAGTTTCTTTGGTATAAACTTAAGGCTGAAGAATGTTGTTAAGTGCCTTCAAGTCAGTTCCAACTCATAGTGTTTCCATAGGGTTTCCAAGACTGCAAATCTTTGCAGGAGCAGAAAGCCTCGTCTTTCTCACATCTGAAGAATACTGTCTTACATATTTGAGAAAAAAATGATTTCTTCTTGCAGCTATAAAGAGCCTACTTAAATATGTTTAGAAATACACTTCTTATGTAACTGTCCTGCCATAGACTATGGAAATGCAAAAGATACGTTATTCTCTGTGCATGGTTTGATGGCTTGCAACCCATCTTTCACATCTGTCCTGTTGCTGTTATTGTTGTTAAGTGCCATTGAGTTGGTTCCGACTCATTGTGATCCAGTATAAGGTTTCTGAGGAGCAGCGGGCAGATTTGAACTGCCAACCTTGTGGTTCAAATCAACTTTGTGGACCAGTGCATTATCCTGCATTGCAACACCACGACTCCTGTAACAGAAGATACATTTTATAAGATATACATATTTAATTAGAAAACTGTATTTAGAAAACTAGGTAGTCCTTTTTTAAGAAAATTAAGTTAGGTTCCTAATCTCACTCACAGTAACTTCAATTCAGAAATATAAAATGTAGAAAAAGAACATAAAGAAAAATAATACTAAAACAAACACTAAGAAATGCTACTATAAGGCTTCTAAGGCTCCAAAAGGGCAGCACAGTGGCTCCATAGGATCCTAGTACAGGACTGCGAACACAAGGTTGGCGGTTCAAGCCCATGAGCCGCTCCATGGGACAAAGATGAGGCTTTCTGCTCCTGCAAAGCTTTGCAGCCTCAGAAACCTTAGGCAGGGTCGCTATGAGTGAGAGCCTACTCCACAACACTTAGCAACAACAAGGGTCCCTCCTACAATGCCCCCCCCCATGGGAAATGACAAAATCTCAAAATTACTGAAGAAAAGACTGTCACAGTAGATAAACTAAAATGATTTTTTTAAGTTCTCTATGACAAAACACACCATGAATAAAGTAAAAATGGAATATTTAAAAAATAGTAATGTGTAATCAGACAGAGTCCTGGTGTGGCACTGTGGATAAGACTGGACTGCTAACCATAAAATAGGCTGTTCAAACCTACCAGATGTTCCTAGGAAATCTGTACAGGGTCACTATGAATCAAAACCAACTCAATAACACTTAACAACAGTAATACAGACGAAAGGCTGTATCCCCCAATATAGGGAGACAACCTGCCAATCAATAAAAAATCATTAACTGCACAATAGAAAATTGTCAAAAAACCTGGATAGTTTCCTGAATAGGAAATATCTCCAGAAGATACGCAACTTCATTCTCAATAAAAAAATAAATTGAAATGATACCAAGATACTGTTTTTTGTTATTAGAATGTCAAGAATCGTAAAATTGAACAGTATTCTATTTTGGAAATGGCATGGTGCTACAGGCACTCTTGTACATTGTAGACAAAAGGAAGGGAATGTTAGGTAAGGGACTTTGCAATATCTCTCCGAATGGTAATGCATTTGACTCCACATTCATGTCTAGGAACTTGTCTTATGTTGTTCTTAGGTGCCGTTGAGTCATTGACTAATCATAGTGACGCTATCTACAACAGAACAAAACATTGTACCATCTTCACAATTGTTATGTTTGAACCTATTGGTACAACTACTGTGTCAATCCATCTTTTTGAGGGTCTTCCTTTTATTCACTAACCCTGCACTTTACCAAGCAGATTTGCCCAGTGCAATACATCTTTTGATTTTTGGTTACTGCTTCTATGAGCATTGATTGTAAATCCAAGGAAAACAAAATCCTTGGTGCAATTGTGAGGTTTTTTTTTTTTTTTTTATTGAGGTGTAATCCATACCAAAGGTTGTAGTCTTTGATCTTTATCAATAAGTGCCTCAAGTTCTTTACTCTTCCAATAAACAAGGTTGTGCCATCTGTATATCAATGGTTACTGAGCCTTTCTCCAATCCTGGTGCCATGTTCTTCAGATTATTTGATCAGGATACAGTATGGTGAAAGGATATAACCCAGAAGCACACCTTTCCTGATTTTAAATCACTTAACATCTCCTTGTTCTGTTGGAACAACTGCCTCTTGGTCTAGGTACAGTGTCCTCATGAGCAAAATGAAGTGTTCTGGAATTTCCATTATTTGCAGATTATCCATGGTTGTTATGATCCACACAGTCAAACGCCTTTGTATAGTCTATGATGCACAGAGAAAAACATCTTTCTGATATTCTCTGCTTTCAGCTAATATCCATGTAACATCAACCATGAATTCAGCTGGAGATCTGGCAGCTTCCTAACAATGTACTTCTGCAACCATTTTTTAATTAT